TTTTTTTCGGAGATTTGTTCCAGAAATGATTGGTATAGTATATCACTGTTATTAAAAGTTGGCGTAGCAAAAAAGTCAATTTTTTCTGAATTTTAACAACAGAAATGGACATAGCTAAGTATTTTAAGACAAATTAGTGCATTTTTAGTCATTTTTGAGAATTTTTTTTTTCCGGAGATTTGTTCCGGAAATTATTGATATAGCATATATAGTTTGGCAGGCCTACGTTCCCACCCGGAGCACAGACACACACACGCACACAGACACACACATAGAGGGAGGTGGTTTAAAGCCGAGACGACTGACGGGAGGCGCTCCTAAAACTGAACGACACAATGGGCAGGTGAAACTGGAGGTGTGTGTTTGTTTTCACGTCGGTTGCTCGGAGACAGTAACACAGCTGACCGTTGAGCAGATAACAAAGAAGGCTTTCAAGGATGGGACAGCAGCAGCAGTTAAATGCTGCTGAAGTAATGACGGAGTAGTTTAGAGAAAAAAAAAACATTAAAAAATAATAATAACTAATATACATATTTGAAAAAGTCAAAGGAGGTCTTATTTAGCTATGTGTTAGCCAAAATGTGGCTAATGTAACTTAGCCATAAATATGACAACAATAGGGAGGAGGTGGACAAAAGCTAAATACATTTAATAAAACTAAAATGTATATATGAATGTATATATATATAGACACACACACATATATATATATACAGTATATATACACACACACATATATACACACACACACATATATATACACACACACATACACATATACTGTGTATTTGCACTCACAGGGATCTTGTTAGGATGCTGCTCCCTGATCAGTCTGACATCTTCAACTCTCTGTTCTGTGGGGTGAAACGTAACAAATCAGGTTAAAAGGACGGAGACGTGACTGTGACAGACAGGACAGAGACGACGATGACGGGAGGAAGAGGAGCAGCTGATGAAACTCAGCCAAAGGACAAAGTCAAAGAAAACAACAAACAAACAGGACAGAAAAAAATGTATTTTATGATTGTACTGCATCAAGAGCAGTGAGTATAATATACATAAAGCTGCTCGCTGCACTTTGGACCAAGTTTATCAGCAATACCAGTGTCCCGGCCACAGAATGGGATCAGTAAACAAGACCTGAACAAATAAACACTTGTTCTCCAACAGGAAATCTCCAACTGAGGCGGCTGCAGCTTTAACCGACCAGTGCAGTGAGTTTTCTCTGTCGGTGTACACGACAAACCGTGTGCCTGCTGTTAGGATTTCTGATTCAGTTAACTCGTTTACAGGCTGCTTCCAAAACATCTGATATTATTTAATTTTGGAGCAGACATTTGTATCTATAAATACGATTATCTGATCATTTGTAGTTAAGACGGCTCACAGAGACAGAAGATGTTGCTGTGTCATTTGAGGCCTGTTGTGGAGAACAGACGTGAAGAACAACGAGCGTCTGACTCCAACAGACAGAAAACCAAAGATAAATGAGGAAGCTGTTGACCCTAAAGCCAAAGTTGAAACACACTTAGAAAAGTTTCTGCTCTGTCACAACATGGGAAATTATACAGAATCACTTAACACAATTGGAGTAAATCTAAGATGAGGTCACTGAATAGACAACGGCCGGGAAACAGTTACATTAACTCACTACACCTACTACTCACTACCTTTTTTTTTTTTTTTTTTTGCTGTAATGTGCATATTCTTGGGTTAAACCACCAAAATTCACTACACCTACTACTCACTACCTTTTCTTTCTTTTTTTTTTTGCTGTAATGTGCATATACTTGGGTTAAACCACCAAAAGGATGAAAAAAGTACAATTTGATTTAATACATATAATAATGTGTTGTAATTGTTTATACAAACTACAATGTACAATAATAATGTATTGTTTTATATACATACATTATAACAGTATAATTACACATCTTTTGAAATATGGTTATAAAATGAACATTAGTAAATTAATTAACAAATAATAATAATAAATTACACTCCTCATAAGTGTGTTTGCTCAACGAATTCCTAACGACATTTCAATCAACAATCAAAACAGAACGTAAACATGGTATTTCACAATCCCTGACTAACCCTAGAGATCCTTACGTAACTTGCATAACCCACGTGTGTTGTGTTTTTGGACCCTCACGTGTTGAGCTTCGTGAAAATCCTGACCAATAACACGAAGAAGCGGAAATGGGTTCATCTTAGTCAGACTGGAAAATGTACTCCCAGACAGGAAAAAAAAAAAACCCCGACAGTGTTCACCCATGTAATGCCACACAAAGAGACTGTTCTAAGTGAAACGAAACACGATTAAATGCTTGTTTTTTTAAAAAGTAAATACGCCATATAAACAACAAAAACACATCAGTCTGGCAGACTTCAGTACACTTTTTTTTTTTTTTTGCTCCTTTGTCATCTACTTATCCAGGCCTCCCCTGCCCTGACATGTTCTCCCCAACACGAAGACAAAAGAAAAAAAGTACAAGTAAAATATACAAAATAAATCCAGCTAATTCAGCCTCTTTCTACTCAACTGTCACTGTTTATAACCCCCTTCTCCTCGTTATGTCTTTCACTGACACGGTTCCCATCCCCCAATCCTGCAGCTCATGTTTTCTCAGCACAGCGTTTCGACACAACTTTGTTTTTGGGGTTTTTTTTTCCCCCAACCACACGGTTAAAAAAAAACACATCGTCCGGGGCACAAAGACCGACTAACGTCCAGTTAGACAACCGGATGGACAGAAGGTTTGATATATAATTGCTGTCACAAACAACGACTCTCGTTTAAAAAAAAAAAAAAAAAAAAAACTCAGGATGTGGATTCATTTTGTTGCCACATCCTATCATGTCATCTTCCTGTGGCTTTAAAATTGTTCATTCTCTTCTGTTTCTCACTCCTGTCGTTGTTTAGCATTTTGTGACAAAATTAGCATTAAAAGCTAACGGCTGCTAACAACAACAGCGGCTAGCCGTTTCATCCACACCTGACGCCGCGGTGTCCCACGGCAGTGCGGCCCACACTTTAAACGCTGAGTCATTTAAAGACGGTTTAACATATTAAAAACGATGATAATATTGAATAAAACAAGTGGTTGGATTCGTACCGTATGTCCTTCGTTGTTTGAAGGTTTTCTCTGAAGGCATCCTGCGTCAAAGTCAAAGGAACTGTCGCTGTAGGTTCTAAAAAGTAAAATATACACAAAAAATAAAATAAATATATATATTTTTAAAGGGGGGTTAATTGTGTGTTTTAAAAATAGCTCGATGTCACAGTGTTGCTAGAATAAAGGGACACCCTGCTCAGGGTGCTGGATTATCTTTGTCTAGTTTTGGTTTTGATGTCGACGCTTCCTTCCTCTGTTGCTCTGTGTTTTTATCCTGAGCAGCAAAACAAACCTGTCATCTGACCAGTGACGTCACATGCCGAGACGCTAAAATAAAATGAAATAAAACAACTTCGTTTTAGCTATCTGTACATTTATTTAAAAAAATAAATAAAATAACATTACCTCAGATGAAAATTATCAATTACTTTAAAGTATCAGTTACTAAAATACTAAAATACCTGTTGACTGCGGACAACAGGTAACAACAATAAAAAATAAGATAAATAAAACAAAAATATATACCATTAAATAAGGTAGGAAAACTCAAGAAACTATATATATATTATATATATATAATAAACGCTCTTAATTGATTTTCTTACTTTAAAAAAATTCAGAAGGTGAAGTTCCCCTTTATGTCCAGCAGATGGCACACTCGGATAACCAGTGGGACAACATACCCTGTTAATTACGGTTTCATCTATTATTATTATTATTATTATAAATAACCATTACATTAAAAATAATTAATGTTAAAATTAATCTATTTTAATGTAAAAAAATATTCTATAAACACCTCATTTTTTTTGTAAAAATGTTGACTTGTGAGGAGAAAAGGCAAAATAATTGTAATATTTTTTTAAAAATAACTATATAAAAAAACACACATTACAAACATGAGGAAATGACCCATTGTTCATAAAGACACACTGTTACATAGTTTAGCCACTGGTGCTTTAACTGCCTTCAGTGGTACGATGCTGAGGGAAGTCTGTAAAGAAAAACCTACTTTTCTGGACACTGATACCTTTATGTTTCTTCTTCAGTGGTTTAAGCGACACCTCTGCACTTGAATCAAATATTTGTTGTCAATATTTCCGACCTTCTGGTCTCCACTGCCCTCGGCTCTCGGCCCTGGATGTGTCTCCTCCTGCTCCCTCCACTCATTAGGTGGTGGTGTTTCTGTGATTACTCAGCTCTCAGCAGGAGACTGCTGAGGAGCAGAGCTGCTCTCCGTCAACTGCACAGAAAGGCACTCAGTTAATCCATGTGATATGAAATGTTGACACTGTTACACTGTCATATGTTGCAGGAAGTATGGTCGATAACAATAACCAGGGTGGGATATGAAGAGGCCAAAGGTGAGGGATGAATGAGTGTGAGTGTGTGAAGAGGAAGAGGAGAGAGGGGGGGAGTCGGAGGGGGTGAATGTGTGTCTTTTTCTTACCTTTTAGGACCAGTTGGTTTTCCTCTGCGGCCTCTATCAGTCATTTCAAATGTGTTATTTAGTGAATGCTCTAATTGGATTCACCTCAGTGACACAATCTCACCCAATAAAACAGTAGACCCACACTTCCTGTGTCCCCTGCAGCTGAAAACATTGATTCCGCCCCGCACCCCCCATGCACTTCAGCGTTTTCACATTAAGTGATTTACAGACTTAGGTTTCCGGTCAAAAATGACCAACATTACCTGTGGTCATTGCTGGTGTGTAACTCACCTTCACGTGTTCGGACTTGCTCTCAATCCGAAAACTGCAGATCAGAAAAGAGAAATGATCGTTATTATATTTTCACAACCCTGATTGTGTCCTGCACCACCCTCATGTACTTCTCCGCCGACTCTAGCATCTGCTGATGGATGTCAGGTTCTGTTGTGTCTTTTATCCTCTACAATGGATCGAAAAAGAAACAGACAACGTGATGTTGTTTTGGAGAAGAAAACCTCGACCTACAGCAGGTGGGAGCAAAAGCTTTTCCAGATTTACTTCCTGAATCACTACTACCGTTTTTCTAGGCCTTCACTGACGACTGAGTCTTTCTCCTACAGTCTACTACAGGGGTCTCCAACCCCTGGTCTGGGGACAAGTGCCGGTCTGTAGGTCATTTGTTACCGGGCCACAGTGAAAAAAATGTACTTCAGTTTTACTTTATCCCATATCCCTTTACTGTTTTCATTCCAAGATGATCTGTCAATGTTCCAGAACAACAGGTCAAAGGTCCTTCAGACTCTGGTATTGACATAAGAAAGTCTGAGAGGTTTTATTTTGGAAATTTAATTATCGTTCAACAATGTTTGCAATATTACTGGTCCGCAGTAACAGCTGATACCGTCCGACTGGTCTTTGATTAAAAAAAAAAAAAAAGGATACGGGGGCCGCTGGTCTACTCCACAGAGCAGCGTTCTGAATGCAGACTCATGTGTGTTCACTGTCTCTGCACTCTGCCATCAATGTCCTCTAGCAACAAAAGTACATGTCCTCAGAGCTCAGTGTGTCCCCACTCTGTTATTCTCCATATTTTACCTCCATGATTAAATGTTTAGTGGCTGCTGGGAGAAGCCGAGTACTGCAGCAGAAAACACTTAGGATTGTGGCCTTTTTCTAGATTACATTGGTTGCTCTGTTGCCAAGACGACAGCAATTAGAAAAGACTGGGTTACCGAGCAGAGAGCCGCGATGTTTCCGTAGCAACCAAGGTCAGGGAGAAGGCTGTGGGTTTACGTGAATCTTTGGAGTAAGGACGGATACGAGAATATTTGTTATTGTACTAAGTGGAGGCATCAGGTTCATGCTGAATCTGTTTACTGTGTTTGCATTGAAGGCTCCACAGAGTGCTGCATCCTCACTGCAGACAGAACAGCTGGAGACCTGATCTGCTCAGAGTGGAGTCAAACCAGAAATCACTTTTTTTTTTCCTGCAGGAAACTGGGTTATGACAGAAGAGATGGTGAAAATAAATGTTGACGAAAAAAAAAAAAGAAGAAAATAGAGAGAGTTTAAAAGCCAGAAATGTAAATGAAAAGACAGATCCGTGGTGCGAATCCTATGCTTTTTGTAATGTGTGTGATGGTACTTCTAAAGCTGATTACATACATGAAAATCAAACATTTTGGATCATGTGAAAAACTCAAGGCCCGTGGGCCAAATGCAGCCCACCAGGTAACTTTGTGTGGTCTGAGGAAGCTGCGGCCCACCAGGTAACTTTGTGTGGTCAGAGGGAGCTTTTTTGACATGGTAAAATAGAACTTTTTTTTAAAACAAACAGAGCACTTCTTTTTTTCTGTCTATTTTGACATAGTAAAATAGAACTTTTTTTTTTAAATCAAACAGAGCACTGACTCCTTCCTTCCTTCTTTTTTTCTGTCTTAACTACCCCTGCAGGTTCTGACTTTGGACCTAGTGGTTTTAAGCGGTATTACAATTTTTTAAAATCAGATTTAAAAAGATGAATCCTGAAATCTTCTTAATAATAATCCAAAATGCCCAGGAAACATTTACCGTGGGGCAACCCCTACCCCCCCCCACACCTTTTATACCCCTGTGTGTTTACTTTATTAAATGTGACTGCAGACAAAAGGACAGGAGACCTGTCCTCCTTTATGTTGTGCTGTCTGTCCCTGCTGTGTGAGGTTCCTATAATTAGCTGATTATCACAGCATGGCGTCCTCCAGCAGCTTACACAAACACACTATAACCACAACAGCGTAGCGCGGCCTCCTTAAGCCTCTGTCCACCACAGAGAGATCACTCTGTGCTTATGTAAAACTGAGGAGACTGGAACAGAAGACACGTCCAGCCCTGGACGTACAGGACACACGTCCAGTCCTGTCATCTCTGCACCACCTTTCCTCTGCTCTAAACCTGGGTAGCCTGACTGTGACACACACACACACACACACACTCCCAGTCGACCTTGTGTGTAACCAGAGTCTGGGAGAACACTTAATCCCTCAGCACCTGCCGTCCGTCGCACCGTGACCTCTGCGCAGCTGCCCCCAGCGTGTGCTGTTTACCTTCTAGGTCTGTTTCCTACCAACGTGGACGTCTTCGTGTTTTACACCAAAATCTGCGTTTCTGCCAACTGCCGCAGAACAGACGCAACATTTCCCAGACCGTCTGCAGAAGAAGAGATTTTCAGAGATCAGGTTTTAGATGCGGCGCGAGGAGAACGTCATCACTTCCTGTCTCATTAATACTACCTGTTCATCACCTACATCAGCGGTCCAAGGACCGAGGACCAGTCGACAGGTACCAGTCGTTACTGCGGACCGGTGATACCGCACCATTGTTGAGAGATGATTGCAGTTTCCAAATAAAAAAACTTTCAGACTTCCTGTTGGCATCAGAGTCTGAATGACCTTTGACCTGTTGGTTTGAAACATTGACAGATTATGAATGATTTTGAATGAAAACAGTAAAGAGATATGACTGGATTATTTTGGAATTAGGTAAATTAGTAAAAGTACATTTTTTTCCTACTGTGTCCCGGTACCAAATGACCTACGGACCGGCACCAGTCCCCGGACCGGAGGTTGGAAACCCCTGACCTACTGTATTGTCTTCACCAGGGTCACATATTTAACCTTATTCTGATTATTTAAAGATTTTTATTTTCATCGTTTGGCTAATATTTGGGCTAACCTGTTATCTAGTAGTTACCTATATTTCGGCTGAATTTAAACAGATTTCTCAGGTGACTGACTAACATTTGCTCTTTTAGGATAGTCTTAAATCTATGGTAAATTTGAAGCTAAAAGTTGACAATATACAGGTATAAAATATATAATAAATATTTCAATATTTTGTGTAGGTCTTGGCTAATGTTGTGCTCTGTTTCAGCTCATCATTTGTTATAAATATATTTTTATACTTTTCAAAAAATAAAGCCACACATGCTAATCAGATTCTCTCTTAGGCAAAACAGACCTTAATTCATAACCTTTTATTAACATAAAACATTTATAAACTTAGTTTAGAGCTATGTATAAAAAAAAGAACCTAAAAGAAATATATATGAAATAATAATTAAATATTTCCCACATGGGTGAGTCTTAAGCGGCTGGTCATGTAACCACTTTGAAACTGAATGCACAGTGAAGGAGGGAAAAAAAAAAACACCTTTGGTTTCTTCTTAGAAGTCTGGCTACCTACCGCTCCCTCCTCCGTCGTACATCAATCACACTCTCTACATCTCCATTTACACTTATTCCAGCTTCCCCTCTCTACAGGTCCCTCTTTGTTCCGTGGAGGCAGAATTGCTGCCTTCCTGCAGGCGGGGGGAGGTGGAGTGACCACTGTGTGGTAGAAGGTGGAGGAAAAAAAAAAAGAAAAAAAGAGAGAGAAGGGAAACAGTGGTTTCTATTAGGAGGAGAATGGCTGCTGATTTCTCTGGAGGAGGAGGAGGAGAAAAGGAAGGGCAAACTGTTGTGTGCCTCCTGATGGAGGATGTGTTGTTGTTGTCGTCGTATTGTCACCAGTCGCTGCTTCCAGAAGTCCAACCACAGTCAAACATAAATCCAGCTTCTTCACGCAGACACGTGTCTCATGTGGAAGTTGACCACGTACTCGGCGTTGGTGCGCTGGACCGAGATGGCGAAGGGTTCGAAGGGGTGAAAGGTGAAGGCAACCAGACGCCTGACCGCGTGGTTGACCGGTCGTCCCAGCAATCCCGCCTGGATTTTAAACTTCAGGAGGCCAGAGTCTCGGGCGTAGAACCTGACGTGTGGACAGAGGACGTGTCTTAAATGTCTGCTTTTACTCAGTGGCTAACATTTTCTAGTGACTAAACATTCACGTCAAGTCAAAAAACAAACTCATAATGCGCTGAATGCTAACGAATGTACACAAATCACAGGTAGGAGCAGCAGCTAGCCCATTAGCCTCTACATCGTCGACATATATTAGCACCGTGGTTCAACTGGAGTGTCGCTAGATTTGTCCGCAGCAACTGAAAATAAAACGCCGACAAAGTACATTTTGCGCAAGATTTCCTGTTTTTAACAAAGATGCAATGTGTTAAACTTGTAGGGGCGTTTACCGGCAAGAATTTGGCGATACGATACGAACTTGTAGGGGCGTTTACCGGCAAGAATATGGCGATACGATACAACGATACGATACGTATCGCGATACAGGGGAGACGATACATTTTTGCACTATATTGCGATACTATATGCACGACGATATATTGAGTTTTTCAATTTAAAATTGATACAGTAGTGTAAGTAAATATTTTGTTACTCCGTGAGGTATTTAGTATTTGGAAATACCAATACTAGAACAGTACAACTGTCCAATCACAATCAAGAGTCTGAAGAATTTACACCGCGGCCTCTTCTGTCAGCAGCATAATTCAAGAGCTCTCACTGGCAGAGCGTCTCACTGACATCATCGCCTTAGATTAAGAGGCTCATTTCCCACCTGATGGGGTGGTCTCCACAGGTCTTGGGCCTCTCCATCACCGACACCCACTTGTCGTCGTAGCTGAAGAGCGAGAGGTCGAGGTACGGGCTGCTGCTGTAGGACTGAGCGCTGATGGGAAGCTGGCCGAGCAGCCGCCGCACCGCCTCAGTGTGGCCGCCGTATTTGGCGTTGACTATAGTGTCCTTAAATCTGAGGCAGACACAGACAGGAGATTTGGATACGGGGGTGAGGGTGGGGGGAGAGAGAGAGGGGAAAGGGTGTCAGCAAAACAAAATGAAAAAGCAACAGGAATTCTCCAGAGGGAATTATTGGTTTAATTCAGCCGTGTGGCCTTTAAGGTAAGCTCCGCGATTCTTCACTCACGATAAAGATGAGGATTTATTTCCCCCACAACAGCTGCTCAAAATCTTTATTTTCAATATCGTAGGCAGACATTTATCCAGTGGTCTAGATAAAACGCTTCATCATTCTGATTTAAATTTCCAAACAACATTTTCTGGATGTTTCTGTGGAGCCGTAGATAGACCGACTTTACTTTTCATTCTACAAAAAAAACCATGTTTTTTTTTCTACCTGTTGTGTGTTTGTGTGCTCTAAACACTTCCTCTCCTGGTGACCTGCCTCTTCCCGCCTGCGAGCTGGATTGTGCTTTTTACTAGCTATAAGTGACATAAATATGGTTTTCTCTACAGGAAAAAACAAAAAACACTGGCTTTCTGTTTCTCTACCTTTTCCTAGAGCTTCAATTTTCTCCCTCAAATCCAATTCTGAACTCTGTTTTTTCCACCTCACTCCAACCTTAACCTTCTCCTCCTTCACTCTCTGCTCCTCTCTTCCTTCACCTTCTCCAGAGGATTTTCTTGCCTGTGTGTCGGCGAGTTGGTGAAACAGAATTCAATCACGGCCGCACTGACCGTCTTAACGTCTCACCTCTGTATCAAGATGAAGTCCTAGAACTCTTTTCTCCTCAACCAGGCTACTTCGCCTTCAAATCCAGCCTGACATTTAGTTTTTTTTTTTTTTCTTCCTATTTTTCTATTCTGGAACCAACTCCTCAGTGAGTGGCCAGCAACACTGTGGCCATAAGTGGATTTACATGCGTGTGCCTTTTGTAGGACAAATGTATGTTTTAGTCAGGTGAAAACTCACAGTGGCACAAAGGGAGTGATTTTTTTGTCTGCTTTCATTCACTTCTGTACCTTCTCTGGACCTGCCGTGCGTAATTGTTGGAAGAAGCCGAGCAGGGGAACTGGACGGCCTGGCTGTGCAGCGTGGCATTTCTAAAAAGGTCGCAGAAATTTTCAAACAGCTCCAGCAGCTGGTCAGACGTGTTCTCAAAGACGGCCAGCACCTCCGTGGACACCATGTTGTAAACGACAAAGAATGACGGCTGGGGGGGGGAGAAAAGTGGGGCAGCGGGTGTGAAGGTGTGGAGAAAGGAACAAAGAATGAAACATTTTTGGAGATTTTTTTTTCCTATTCACTCTACCTGTAAAAAAAATATCCCGGGTTTTTATGGTTTAAAGAAAAGAAAAAAAAAACACAAAGGGAAGAATTTATTCTACTGTAACTACAGCATTTTGGCAACAACCTGGGGAGTTACTGGGCTGTGGATACACTTTAGACAAATGATAAAAGATGTATTTATTCACTGTTAGTTGAATGAATAGTCAGTGTGGGCGTCTGAGATTTCATCTGTATGAAACGGGCATTAATTAGATCCATTTGCTGTCACCAGGGATGAGACACAGAACTGAGGAGAGTCTGGAGGAGACAGGTGTCCTTGGAGATGTGAGGAAGGAATTCCTTTTTCACGGTGTCGTCAACAAAAGAACATGAAAAAGAGGCTGCACGAGGCAACAAAGAGAGCAGAGGGAGGAATTCTGTGTGAGTGAGTGTGTGTGTGTGTGTGTGTACCTGCGAGGGGTCGGTGACTCGGAGCGTGACCACATCTTCGCTGGTGTATTTAATGAAGAGGTGATGCTCGTCCAGCAGCTGCATCTTCCACATCCTCAGCCTCCTCAGCTGATCAAAAAACTGGAAGAATCTGACGACAGAGCAGGTGAAGTCATGAAGGACTGCAGTCAAAGACAGAGGCCTGAGAAATGATAACAATGTGACGCCCCCAAAAACACACCCTCCGCGGGGTGTGTGTGTTTATATATACACACACACACACACACAAAAAGTGTGTCTTTCGGCATCACATCACTTTAAACAAAAAGAGAATATATTTTTATATATATATATATATATATATATATATATATATATATATAAAAACATATTCCGTTTAAACAACTTTTTTTCAGGTTATTGCTGAACTTATTTTAAGTGTCTTAAGCTTTGAAGCTTTAAAAATCTGTATTACATGTTTTTTTTAATATAAGTTGTTGAATTCCATTTCATTAAAAGTTAGACCAAAGAATAGACTCCACATTAGTACTATTTAGGATAAAATAAAACACACCAGGTTGACTAAAAATTAAAGTTTTTTTTCTGTAATGCCCCATCTTCAAATCTGTATTTGTCTCTTTTCCTTCTTTTCTTTTTGTTTTAGAGTGAGAGAAGAGCTAATCAGGTTTTTACTCATGGCAGTAGATAAAAAAAAACTACATATTTGCAACTGAACTCCCACAGATCCTGGAAGTTCCTGGTGGATCAAACATGCACAGAGAGTGAACTTGGGTAATCTGCTCTACCTCCTCTTGGCCGTGGCGCTCCCATCCTGCTCAGCTCTCCTCCAGAGGTAGACCAGCAGCCGGTGCTTTAGGGAGTTGATGGTTTTGTCTGTGTAGAGGCGGGGGAAGCCCGGCTGGCTCTCAGCCTGAGCCTCTGTGTAAACAGCTGACAGAGTCAGGAGGTCGTCCTCGTAGCAGAAGCGCCCGATAGTCCTCACGTCCAGAAACGTTCCTTCTGCAGTCACCTGGGACACGAGCAGCGTGAGGAGGAATGTGGTGAGGATGCTGCTTTTTTTTTGTATTTTTTTTTTATAATCAACATTAAAACGCTGTTCACCTGAAACACGTTTTTTTTTTTTAATAATCAACATTAAAACGCTGTTTACCTGAAACACATGTATGGTCTGCTGCTGGACCGACAGCACGGCCAGGATGTTCCTGTAGAGGTAGAGACCCTGGTTGTGAGACAGAATAATCTTATCACACTTGAAGGACCTGGTGTCACACAGTCTGCCTGTGTGGAGGTCGATGATATGGAGTGAGTAGTCCTCCAGAGGAGAGCGAGGATTAGGAGTCACAGACTCGTTGTTACGATACACCTGGGGAGAGATTGATTTGAAGAGAAAAACAGATTTCAAGAAGCTGCACTGAGTAGGATTGGATGTTTTTTTTAGCCTGAAGGTGTCAGCACCTCAAAGAAGTACGGCGGCGGCTCCTCGGGGACGTAGACGGCCGAGCCAACGATGACGTAGCGGCAGTCATCTGTGAAGAGGCTGCACTCCCTGTTGAGATGTTCTCCGTTTGACGCCACGTTGGTGACATGGAGCAGAGAGAAGAAGCGTTCAAAGAGCCGGCCGCGGATGTTGAGTGAGCGCTGGTCGTTGGCTGTTAGAAGAGTCTCGCCCTCCTGACCTCGGAGCAGATCCTGAGCTGCTTGGCAGCCTTGATATTCATAAATCTGGAAGAGGACCGTGATTAGCTTAGCTTAGAGGATCACAGGTCTGCAGTCGGTGTGTTTGAAACCCTACCATGGTGGTGGGTTGTTTAACAAGCAGCACATCATAAACGGAAAGGTTTGTTGTGCAGAAAGTTTTTTTTGTTTTTTTTTAAACTCTAGCTACAGCTAGAACTTTAGCTACAGCAGTCTTGGTACAGATAAATACAGATAATAAATAAATATTTCTAGTTCTTGAACTAAACCTGCATGTCTGTTGTCATTGAACAAAATGAAAATAATAAAAAAGCAGCTTAATTTGTCCAAAACAAATATAAGAAGTTAAAATAATTCCTAATATGAAAATCTGAGAAAACAAGACCCAGACATAACAGTGAGAAGAGGCTCTTCCTGTTTTTACCTCCAGAGACGTCTGGTCAGAGGAGAAGGCGATAAAGCAGCGTCCATCAGGGGAGAATTTCCTAAGGAAGCAAGGCGGCTTCTCTACGTTGACCACAGTGAAATTGGGAAATAGGTTTTGGTGGAAGCAGCGCACTCTGTACCAGTGAGCTCCGGGTCGGCCTGAGCAGATCCGACGCCTCTCAAGACGATGAACCACATTCTGGTTCTGGATCCGTCTGGGTTTCAGGGTTTGTGTTACATCGTCCATCACTGGTTTAGATGATGACCTCATCAGGAGGCGGTCAGAGAGGTAGCAGAAGATAACAACATCACAAGGAAGGAAAGTCCCAGTACCTGTGGTCAGGAAAAATGGACACAGGTCAAGTACTGAACAACAACCAGGGTTGATTATAAATAAACAACATTCAATGTCAGGATTAGATATATATATATATATATAATGTTAATTTTGTGCCCAATATCCAGGTAAAAATATAAAAGTGCATAGTTCTCTATCTTCAGCTAACTTCCTGCACTTTAAGACCAAATTATTAACTCTCAGAGAAACCCGAGTTGTTTTGAAGCGTTTTCTATTTCACACAGGGAAATGAGTATTTATACAGCATTATTTAGCAGGCATAAAAAAAAATCAACATTCAGTTTCACAGTTTGAAAGAGCTAAAAGTTAAAAATGTATTATCTGACCCTCGTGAAGCAAAATGTGTGGCTTTTGAATGGATTTCAAAGCAGAAGTTTGTTCTTGAGAAAAATTGTAGTGCTTAAATGCAGGTTAATGATATACAGTCATCAAAAAAGGTCCAAGTGTCAGGAAAACGAGTGAAATGTATTTTTATTAATAAAATCCACACCATACAACACAAAAAGGCTGAGGCAGAAAACACAGGCTTTCAATAAATCCATACAAACCGATAAGTATGTATGTATACACCTTACCAGCCTCGAATATATACTATCAAACTATTATTTCTGTTTTTAAAATATATATTTATCATTATATCTGAACAGTAACAACCGATGAATACAATGATGGAGCAGATTGCGTTCAGATTTAGCCTCACGTGATTCAAACCACCACAGTTTTTACACAGACGCCTCCATTAAACGATAAAAAAAAGCTACCAGTTTATATGTTACGTTCACAGAATGTAACACACAAAAATACTTACCGACTGCTCTGTGAAACACTGCTGCCCAGTAACCCAAAACGAGCTGCCGGGCTCGGCCAGGTTCAGTACTTTGAGTGAGCCACGGTCACAAGTTTGTCTGAAGCACAGAAGTTAGCAGCGCCGTTAGCATAAGTTAGCATCACAGTAGCGCCAAGTAAACGTCCGGTTTCTTTTCATAAATGTTAAAAGGAATCGACACAGACAAGAAGAAGAGGAAGAAGTAGAAGAAGAAGAAGAAGAAAAGAAGAAGAAGAAGAAGAAGAAAAAGGAGACGAAGAAGAAAAAGAGGAAGAGGACCGACGCCGGAGGTTGCCATCATGCTCAGATTTCAACAGCGACAACACAGACTGCGCAGGTGCAATGCGGTACTGCAGCTTTTGTAGAACGTGGAAAAAGGAGATGGAAAGCAACCGTTTTATATGCGATAACGATTTCCCCAAGTTTACCAATAAAGAGCGGATATACCCATAGTTATTTTAAACAATACGAGTTTACCAATAAAGAGCGGATATACCCGTAGTTATTTTAAACAATAACTGTTTCAACTCCTCTTCGCCATTGACCACAATAACAAATAAAAATACATAATAATTCACATCAAAAGTTCGCCATTGACCACAATAACAAATAAAGACAATTAAAAATACATAATAATTCACATCGAAAAAATAAACACTTCACAGATTTGTAACACTTTCTGTCTGTCTATATATAAAAGAAAAAAAATTATACAAAAATGACCATAATCCTGTTCCCATTGTGTTTTTCTTATACTTTCAACAGAGATTTTTTGAATCACAATATAGAATCCTGAATATGTAACAAATGTAATGGCTTCATTTCTTGGATATAAAAATGAAGATATTTAAAGTACTGTAAAAAAAACAGTCACTAGGAAACACTGGATACAATATTAAAAAGCAAACTTTAAGACAGAGGAAGTCTAAAGCATGTTATTTTGATGGGATAAAATCAGGTCAACAAGTACGAGTGTGATTTTTTGACCTTTAGGTTCCATTATTCACGCAGGGGAAGTCAACATAGTAAACCCATCATTCTGAGTGCCCTACATGCTCCATTTTACTCAATACAATTTTGAGTAATTGCCATGGACTCCAGAAACCTGCGAGGTGGCCACACATTAGCCAAAAGTCCACCTGCTGATCTGAGTGAAGAGCCAATTTACTGATCAGTAGGTGGGTTTGCAGGTGAGGAGCACAAGTGCTGTGGCAAACTTTGAACATGATTATAATTGCTTTAACTAAATTGACATGAAAGGGGGAAAAAAATATGGGCAGGAACAAAACAGAACGGCTCTGACCAGTACTTTAGCATTTAGCATTTGACTGTCATGTTTGTGTAGCCCATTTTATCAAATTGATTTGTTTGTAACTGCAGCGCAGCATAAAATCACCAGAGGTGAGCAGCCCTCTGATCCCAGTAATGGAAGATAATTAAATTATGATTATCCTCGTTCTTATAAGACATGTTCTTATGGATTGACAATGGCATTATGAGGAGAGAGGGAGAGAGAGAGAGGAAGAAAAGAAAAAAAAACAATGACGCTCACAGTACATCGGTCTTGGAAGACTGCTAATGGCTCTTTGTGCAATTATCCCTGACCAGAGAGTCTCATTCAAATGTTGTAATTTTCGATAAAAGCACGTGTAGTGGGTATAAAAGGCCCGTTTGAAAAGACGGAATGAAAAGAGGGAAGGATGTGAAATTATCCACTTTTAAAAATCTAATGGCATTTTTCCTTTTCAACTAGGTCTGATTAAAACACGTGCCTCATGTTGTGTGCGTGTGTGTGTGTGTGTGTGTGTGTGCGAGCATGAACACGCATATATGTGTCCTGAAATGTCTGGGTATAACTGCATGGCTCCGAGCCGTTGACCACTGATTAAAAACGGACAAAGCCGCTCAGTCATTTTGAAATTGTGTGGCCGAACAAAATGGCGGCCACATTTGAGTTTGACACAAGTGGACTAGAATAAAGCATAATCACTGACGGTGTGTACTAGTGGTCAGTCTGTGCAATGACACCAAGTGTTTGACAGTGTCAATATATATGTACAGTATCTGTGCAGCTATGTGTGTGTGTGTGTATAATACTGGAATACCCACACATGTGGGGACACGGTTAAATAAACTATTATTGTTGGGATGTTTTTCAGGTCCTCACTGAACGACAGCGTGGATTGGAGTTAGGATTAGGATTAAGTTTTAGGCATGTGTTTTTTTTTTTAAAGTTGGTGTTAGGGTAAAGGCCTTGGGCAGGCACGGGCAAACTATGACCCGGGGGTCCAGATGCGGCCCGTTTTGCCAAACGTGTCCGAATTAAATTATTAATTTATATCATCATTATAAACATCTGCCGTTGTCCTGCAACGTCTCTTTGCAATTGGGATTAGGACGAGGATTAAACTCAACAAGGACAAAGTGAAGATTAGGGTTAGATGTAAATATTTGTGGGTCTTACAGTAAAGGGCCGGGGGGGGGGGGGGGGGGGCAAACTGTTGATGGACAGTGGTCAAAAAACACAAACAACAGTGAATACGCACATACATGTGTGTGTGTGTGTGTGTGTGTGTGTGTGTGTGCCACTACAGCAGAGCAGTAATTCAAAAGAGAAACTCTGGACGATCTGCTGCCTCTCCTTCTGTTATTTTCCCTCTAATAAACCGCTCCCTCTCTACACAAGACCCTCGCCTCAGCTTTTAGCATCAGTCCGTGAAGAGGAGCAGCGGCGCAGAGTGTGCACCTGAGTGTTTTTATACACTTTTTTGCCTATCCGCCACCTTCAGGGCCTTTTACACAGCCCCAAAGTGGACAGTGAAACAGCAGAGACCTTTTCCTCCAAACTGCATGTTTTTTTTTCTTTTAACCCTGCTCAGAAAATGGAGTTAGCAGGAAACTTCAAATTCTCCTCCTCCTCCTAATGTCCATGAGCAAAGAGGGCCAGTGTTCAACAAGTAAAAAAAAAAAAAAAAAAAAATCTTAGAAAAAAACTTTTTTTTTTTTTTCCCCTCCAAAGTCTGATGGAACAACAACAACAACTCTCACTGGGTTCTGCACTGACACAAAGCTCACACAGGCACCAGAAGCTCTGAACCATGTGGAGTTTAGGATACGCAACACCTGTAGCACTAATTATGACCACCAGGTGGCACTGTGATGGTTGAACGACGATAACTCAGCTTAAAATTATAGTTCGTATGAACAACTATTGAGAAAAATGAAATGCTACGTGAAGGAAAAAAATCAAAGTGATTTGACCTTTGACCTCCACAGACACTGTAGGTGGGGTCAAGTCCTGCGTACCAGATGTTGCCCCCCCCCCAACCCCATGAAGTGGTTAAGTTTGAACTTTACTGATCCTGCACTGGGGAATATTTTTTCAAAATCATCGCCCAACACGGGGCTCGAACCCCCGACCCTGAGGTTAAGACTCTCGTGCTCTACCCACTGAGCAAGTACCATCTATACATCATAATAAAGTTATAATTAAGAACCACAGGAGGGGCCTCACTTAGTTTTATAACCTAATTTGAAATTTTGAAACATAACGGTCTGACGGACCACATGGAGGCCCCGAGCCTCCAGTTGGAGACATTTTTACATATTCCTTTTGGCTCAGAACCTTCTGGAGTTTCAACTGCCGTATATTAATCGTCGTTTAAACACAGGAAAACGTTCATAAAGAGCATATGCATTAGCGATCGACGGGATGAGGGGGCAGCGAGAGACGATTCGCCGACGACACAACGAAATATAACTGAGACACAGAGAAGCACTTAGAAAAAGGTTATTCAAAGAATTCACAGGAAATAGAAACACACTGTTTCACTGTCACCCCCCCATCGTCACCCCTGTCTATTCACATGTGGCATTTATACAAGTTTTTAACTTTCCGTCCGCTGCATAATTTCAGGACACGGCAGGATGCGTTAGAGCTGCAACTTCACAGCCTGCATGCAGCTGAACTTTTCCTGGGTTTGCCGAAGGGAATTATTTCTTTTTTTTTTACTCCCCGGGTATTCGGGGTAATTACAGTGATCACAGATGCATTATGATGCATTAAGGTTTCATCGCAGCATCCGCAGCAGGGCCATGTGTGAAGTGTGAGGCTGGGAAAGAGCTGCAGCAGGAGGAAGGAAACGACCACGGAAATGTTCTCCTTTCTCCAACTTTTTTGTTTGTTTGTGAGGAACCATTTTGAAAAGAAAAAAACCTTGGATGCTTTTTTTTTTTAAATGAATTTTAACCAAAAATATTTGAGTTTAGCGATTAGCATACAGCTTAAATAACAACCGTGTGTGCAAACCTCATTTAAATCACTAAGACTGTATGTTGTCGAAATTTTGAAATGCTGTAAAAATTAAACCTGTTCAGAAAACAATTACAACCAGTGCAACAATTGTTTTGATTATTCAAAAAAAAATCATATTTAAAAAAGATTGTATTAATATAAAAAAATTAAACAGAAATATTTTTTAACTTCGTCAAGTCATCTGCATAGAGATTTAACACATTGTTGACTCATTCAATGGTTAAAAAATAAACAATGAAGCTTAAACTTAACTCATAATTAAACATTAGACAAAAATGTAATTTGGAGAACACTGGACACTTGATGAAATGCAGGAACATTTTAATAAAAATCTATCCTGGAAACGTTCCAGAACGCCCCAAAGACATATGTTGGAGGAGCAAAAACTACAGGTGTTGAAAAAGCGGGCAGTTTTCTCCTTCTTTTTTTCTGGTGAAATCATAATTAATTTTCGTATTATTGGAAAAAAAAAATGCGTGAGTCAATTAGTGCCATACATTTTCCTCCAGCCTCCTGTTATTTACCTCAGATGAGAACAGTTCCTCAGCCTCAGGAAGCCGTGTTCTGCTTCTGCAGGGTAATTGGTTTGAAGGGAACCCTCCTGCTAAATGTCCCACATTTTCTATTTCAATTTTCTTCGAGTGAGGCATAATTTTAGAGGCCAGTTACCGGGGGCAAAGGAAGGCTTCTGCGAACGCAGCGTACAGAACATGTGATTTTTTTTTTTTTTTTTTAAAAGGTGTGTGTGTTTTAATGTGCATGTGCACACACTGATGTGCACATTTTCAATTATCTATTCCTCCTTCCTCTGGCCTGATCACTGAAAACAACAGAAAATTGTCATTGCACTATTACATTTATGAGACCGTGTTTTGCTGCTGCAGAATCCTGGCCCTGTTTCCTCCTCCAGTATTTACTGTTGACTCAGGAGTCAAGATTCAGATGCTGTTAGCTGCTCCTTCTTTATCTTACAGGACGAGAATTTAATTTCATACATATTGCTTTGCCTGTTTAGAAATGTCTTTAGTGAATTAAGAATCTCATCCTCTATGATTTTAACTCCCAGTATTTATTTTTAATTAACTTGAAGGAAGCAGTTTTAAAACAATGACAGCATAAATACTGCTATCAATGCTATCTATGCTAATCATCAAGGCATTAATGGTTAAAAATGTTAAAAAGAAAGAAGCTCAAAGCTGATAAAAGATCAATCAAAATTAAAATTATAGATTAAGTTGTGTGATAATCAGTGAAGTTATATTTCATTTTCAGTATAAATCTTGATTTTAATGATGAGATATTACACTGGATTTCTAAAATACGCCTTTTAGATAAATAACAACAAAGTTAAAAAGAGTTAAAAAGATTAGCCAAAAAATGACAAAAATAAAAACGAAAAAGAAGTGCTGCAGCATTAGTAAACTTTTGAATAATAATTACTTAATTCAACTTGAACTAGCATTAAACAAAAAAGCCAAATGCTAGTTTAATAACTAGCAAAACAAGCTAAAATAAAAATAATATTTATACGAGATATTGTACAATTTAGAAAAAAACAAAAAAGGTAGTTTGAAAACCTAGCCAGAATTCTTTTGTTTAAAGGTTTTACTGAGTGTCAAAGTAACAGTGAGCCACAGTCAGAATGAAAAAGAAAAGCGATTTAGCATTAGCATTATTTTTGAATTGTTTTTCAATTCTTGTGTTTGATGGTCCCAGGTTTTACCACGCCACCAATGAGCTCTAGTGTAGGTGTGTGTGTGTGTGTGTGTGTGTGTGTACCACAGTCGGAGAGCACAGAAGGATCATCAGACATTAGACAGTATTGATCAGGAGCAGCATGTGGTCAATTCTCTCCACAGGGTCAAACTCTCCCCTCGCTCAGGTTAGCAGCTCACAATAAAAAAAAAAAACAGAAAAAACAGAAAGGGACACAATTATTTTTGCCTTTTTGTTTCCTCTCCTCCTCCTGGAGCCAAAAGAGAACATCCTCAAAGGAAGAGCTGAAAAAGAGGTCAGATGAACTTGCCTCACCGGCCGCTGCGGCTCCTGATTCTGCCAGAGGCGAATGGCCTTGGTGGGGGATTGAGCGGCTGGAACACATTACTGCCCCGATCTCAGCGGCTCGAGCCGAGGCAGGACTGTAATTTCTGCCATTTGAGAGTGTGAGCTGAAAAGCAGAGTGATGGGCACTTTTCTGTTATTATTCCTTTGGCAGAGTGCAGGCTGAAGGAAACAACCGGGTTTTAAGAACACGTCCATCACTCGCCGTTGGCATTTTGGACGTGGTATTTGTAAAAGTAACTCTGTCCTGTATCTGGGCAACTTGAAAATAGTATTTTGTGTGACCTTTCACCCATTCTGTGTGTATTATTCATCCTGTTGATCACTTTAAAAATAAAACACTGAAATCTCTGTTTATTTCAGGTTTGATTCATCCAGGACTTCTCTGGTTTGAAGACTGACCTGAAATGACCAGAACTGGTCTGAAGTCTACTGCAGGAGTATTGACTGTATGTGGCCCAGTGCTGTGTGGATACAGTCCCACCATCAGCCTCTCCAGTCTTCATTTCTCAGCCTGACTCACTGCTCACACAGCAGCCCTGGGCGTTGCCTGACTATAAAGTTCCTGCCTCACTTTTTCCAACCTCCTGATCCTTCACTCTTCTGCTGAACGCTGCACGGTAAGATCCACCTCTCGCTGCTGCTTCTGAGCCGAGACTTTTGTTCACATGTTGTCTTCAGACACAGCTGTAGCAGGGACGTGTTGGACGTTTGTTGATCTTTTTGTCTGTAGTGTTACGTGGTTTTTTTAGGGAAGCGTGGAGTGTCTGTGGTGAGGCTGTTTTATTTCACTGCCTGCTACAAAGTAACGCCGTAACTGAAGTTTATATTAACTATAGCAGTAGGATGTTGACTAAAACTTGAACTTTAAAGTGTTTTAACTCGTCATCTAACAGCTGTACTGTACATTTTATACAGTATTTCTCTTTTTCCAATTCCTTAATGTGAAGTCCATCGACCCTGTGGTCAAAGGGCAAAGAGGAGAAACTGTGTACACACCCTTCTGGGGTGTGTTTTTAGCATTCAATTGCATCATTTGGGGGCGTTGGTATTTTTTTTTTTCAGCCTCCAGCTGAAGTTTCTCACTCTTAAAAAAAAAAACAACAAAAAAAAAAACAATCTCACCGCAGCCTGTTAAGAGTGGATTTAACTACTGTACGTCCCACCATGCATCTGTCCTCCTCGCCCTTCCTCCCGCGGTCTGTGGCAGCGGTGCAGCTGCAGATGGGGGAGCAGCTGCACCGCTGCACAACAGCAGGAAGGTGGAGGTTTGATGCCCAGAGTGGAGAGAAAGAAGAAAATAAAAAATATATGTGATGTCACAGCAGGATTTAAAGAGACTTTCTGAACATTTTTAAATATTCTCCAGAGTCAGAATCTATCAGGGGTTTAGGGTGAAATTCAGATAAAAAAAAAAAAAAATATGAGGTAAAAGCTAAGAAAGTTACTTATTTAAAAGACATATTTACAAAAAGATGAAAAGTTTGCTCCGATATTGGAAAAAAAGTGATCTAATGAGGCCAATCATTAGCATAAAATTTCATAATAAAATTTTCAAAATGCACAAATAACACTGTAGATATAACTTATATTGTTTATAAGCTATTTTCTTATTTGTTTTTTTTTTAATTTTAAACATTGAAAAAAACAAAAACAGCTTAATATAAATTTCCATCCTTCATTTTTCTTTATGCAGTTTGAAAAAAAAAGGTAATTTTACATTTTTTAAATGTGTATTAAGATTGGCTGGTGTGTGTCTGTGTGTGTGTGCGTGAACAGATGTATTCACGCACTAAAAGTATTTATGTTTGTGATACTTTACTTTGAAAAAATATACTACAATTTTCACAACGTAAAGGTAGTGAATTACCTGCTCTTATTTTGAAAGTCCTGCTTTAGGAATGAAAGTGCAGTGATGAATGTCATCAAATCAAATCAAATCAACATAAAACCACCGCTGAGCTCCACTTCGTTATTAAGACTAATATTAATGAGGAGTCACCGTCAGCACCAAAGTACTTCAATACCTCAGACTTAAAGTACTTTGGTTTTAGAAAACTATAAAACTCTGCAGGAAAAATAATTTACTTTTTTTTTTCCCCATATAGAATGTCCTAGGAACTTAGAGCAGCTAAGCCCCGCCCCAAATGCTCTCATTGGTTGAGACAGAAGCCCCTCCCATTCTCATCTAGTGCCACTACTACTACTACTACTACTACTACTACTACTACTACTACTACTACTACTACTACTCACTAATAACCCTACTTTTACAACCGACCCACTCCAAACAAATACTGCATATACTACACCTCAGTACTACATCAGACAGTAATACTGTATGTAAGAAGTACAGAGTACTGTGTAACAGTTAATGAAGTCGTTAATATCAGTGGCATCGTTTGATTTTCCTCGTCTCACTTCACACTCCAATTAAAGCAATTAGTGAAATTACTATTTAAGACGACCTTGTGTCGGCGTGTGTGTGTGTGTGTGTGTGTGTGTGTGTCGTCAGCCGTGAGTGTGTGTCCAGATGAGGCTGCCACCAAACGGATCTCTGCTGAAGCGTTAAATGGTGACGATGATGAAGATGATGAAGATGATGAAGATGATGAAGATGTTTTTATTCAAGACAAAAACAACAACAACAAAAAAAAAACAAAATCAATGCTGGGAAAAATTTTACTTGGTATTTTTGGACGTTGTGTTTCAGTGTGTGTGTGTGTGTTTCAGTGTGTGTGTGTGTGTGTGTGTGCTGACCTCCTGCTGAGCTGCATCTGCGTGACTGATGATCTACCTGTTTTATTTCTTGTTTTGTTCTTCCTCCTCCCCCTCCTCTTTCTTCCCTCTCTCTCTTCTTCTCCCTCTCTCTCTCTCCCTCTCTCTCTCTCTCACTCCCCCCCCTCTCTCTATCAGGTTGGGAGGTAAACGAGTTCTCAGTGAGTATTAGCATAGATCACTGGCTGTTATCTGATCAGAGCAGGTCACATGGAACAAAGACCTTTCTCCTGCAGCCACCTGCACCACGTACTGCTAATGAGCTCCTCAAGCCCCCCCCGCCCCCCCCCCCCGAGTGTCTGTGTGTGTGTGTGCCTGGTACAGCGCTGTACTTGTGTGGACACTTCTTTTTTTTTTTTTTCTTTTTTTTGAAATACTACTGTGGTGGAGACACCTTGTCCTCATGAGGACATTGTCCCGGTGTCCCCCGAGTGAGGACCTGCAGCAGTAAGGATTGACCTGACAGATCAGAGGGGTGACATTTACACGATAAAAGGGTGTGAGCCTGCAGTACCGCCTGTTCCCCTGCAGGTGGCACTTTAAACGCTGTTTTAATCTGTTTCTTCTTGTGTCGAGTGCATTATTGTACAGCTGCAAACGTCAACATCAACTCTGTGACTAATTTGATTTTGCTATTTGATGGCAGTCGTTGCACCTTAGTAAAGCTACGCTAACGCAAAAGAACGCAACGTTGCAGTGTTGAAATATATTTTTGTATGACTTTAAATAAAAATATCAGGAAAAAAAAAAAATAGATTACAGTCCTGACATAAACAGCCCAGGGTCACAAAAGGCCCGTTAACCAGAGGTTGAACCCACACTAGACCAACAGCCGTCAGTACACACACACACACACACACACACACACACACACACACAGGACTGAGATTATAATCCTGCATCTATACATCACTGAATGTTACTGCAGGTGTGTGTGTGTGTGTGTGTGTGTGTGTGTGTGTGTGTGTCCAGGGACAGATGCTTCTTCTCAGTGAACACAATGAATTACCTAAAGGCCGTTAAGCCAAACACGGCCGCTGAGGCTGCTGGTTTACCCAGCACTGATAGGACCATCTGCCAGACCGGACTCCGTCTTCCTCACTGCTCTTTACACACACACACACACACACACACACACACAGAGCCGTAACCAGACTCTTATCTGCAGGGAGGGGCCCCACTGCTGATTAAAAACATCAGGACTTCTGCGATTGTTCAGGTGTGTGTGTGTGTGTGTGTGTGTGTGTGTGTGTGTGCAGGTGGGTCAGCGTGTGGTGTGTGGGTAGTGGGAGGGAATTAAGGTCAACAGTAGGGGTCTCCAGTGTTTCAGAGACCACGGTGGTGGTCACTAACTGACGGAGCAGGGACAGTCTACGACAGGGGCCACAACCCCCGGTTTGGGAACCGGTAACGGGCCACAGTGGGACCCAGAACCTCAGTTTTACTAATTGACTTCATTCTAAAATAATCCAGTCACTGTTTACATTCAAAGATAATCCGTCAGTCTTTCAGAATAACAGGTCAAAGGTCATTCCCACTCTGATATTAACAGAAGAAAGTTAAAAAAAAAAAAGGTGTTTTATTTTGAAAATCGAATGATTTTTCAATGATAGTGCGGTATTAACGGTTCGCAGTAACGCCTGGTACCATGTGTCACCATCCCCTGGTATTTAACATTCAGCACTAAGTTAACACCCAGTAGGGGTCTCCAGTGTTTCAGAGACCACGGTGGTGGTCACTAACTGACGGAGCAGGGACAGTCTACGACAGGGGCCACAACCCCCGGTTTGGGAACCGGTAACGGGCCACAGTGGGACCCAGAACCTCAGTTTTACTAATTGACTTCATTCTAAAATAATCCCGTCACTCTTTTCATTCAAAGATAATCTGTCAGTCTTTCAGAACAACAGGTCAAAGGTCATTCCCACTCTGATATTAACAGAAGAAAGTTAAAAAAAAAGGTGTTTTATTTTGAAAATCTAATGATTTTTCAATGATAGTGCGGTATTAACAGTTTTTTTTTTTTTACCGTGTGCAAAAACATAAAGAAAAACAAAAAGAATTATCTTTAAATGATCTTTGTTTTAATTGTTTATTTTCTATAAAAATCTTACGTACTGTGTCTTTACTTTAGGTTTTTTTTTTTTTTTTTTTTTCTTCGAGCCAATGAATTAAACAGACGTAGTTCAGGATAATTATAATTCCAGCATTTTCCGCCGCCCGGAGAACCAGGCGTGAGACTGGAGGACGGACTCACGGGGAGTGGATCTAATGACCTGCTGCTCACGGAGCCACGTCCTCCAGTCACCACCAGGGGGTCGTGGCACCGACACAGTGACTGAAATTAATCAGACACTTTTTTTTTCACTCAGGTGTTTTAATATATATATATATATATGTGTGTGGACAGATTCATCTGACAAATTAAACGAATGTGCGCCCATTAAAATAATGACTGTTCATAGTTAATTGTGCTGCGATTTTAAATTATAGCTCTGGGAGGTTTTTTTTTTTTTTTTTTTTTTTTTTTTCGTTTACATTCCTGAAGGGTTTGACAAAGTTGTGTTTTGCACGTGTGTGGGTGACGCATGTTTGTGTTTGCGATTTGTGCGTAGGTGTACAAAATGCACCTGACGGTTTGGTATTTGTGTGTGTGTTTTGTGATATTTGGAGTGGTTGCTATGCTGCACAGGGCCCTCTATAATTGTCAGAGGCAGAATTATAGATTTGGAATCTGTCTTTTCTGAAGTGCCGTTCAATTCTACTTCATGTACAGTGTAATCTTTATCATACGCAGCGCTATAAATAAATGTCAGTCTGTCAAATGGATGGAACCCAGTGTTTTGTCCCCACTCTGGCAACTTTGTGTCTCCTTTCTCTGTCTCTGTCTCTGTCTCTGTGTGTGTTGTACATTCAGATTTTTTTTTTTTTTGGCTGCAAAATTTGTGTTTTTTATTCGCAAGGGCTCGACTCAAGGACTCGGCTCCAAATGCATTTTCTTTAAAGATGGGTTAAAAAAAGAAAAAGAAAAAGAAAAAGAAGCATTCACTGGTGAAACACGGAGCGTTGTGAATACAGAGCTCTACTCACCAATGTCACCGGGAAACCTTTTCATATCGCCGGCTCTGATGTTTTTCGGGCTCATTCTCTCCTCTTCTCCCAGTGGGACCGTGAAAGCCTGTGCAAAACCCATTAGACATCATCAACATTACACGGCGTTTGGGACAAAGAGAAGATATTTTTAGGACAAAAATTACTCACAAATTTTTTTAATAACCGATGCACAAAGAAAAAAAAAGAAAAGAAAATGAATGTGTAATATATGAGAAATATAAGATTTTTCTAAAGAGCCTTGATTAAAGTACTGTGTGTATACCGCCCCCCCCAGGCAAAGGCTTGTCACTGAAATAAAGTTTCACGCAAACTCGTTTCATTTTAATACATGGATAATATCGGCCCAATATTAGCGAAATATGTCATATCTGTAAAAAAAGTTATCCGTTTTTTTTTTTCCCGACAATGAAAACCCTCGTAGGGTCCTGAGACGTTTACCTCAGTTTTGGGGGCTAGCGGCTTAATGCGATTTACGGTGTGTATTAAACTCTGATGAAGCTCAGCTTGAATGGTCTTTAGTTTCGGCAAATTCTTAGCTTCTTAGCAAGGTGCGGCTGTTGAGCCTTGGTGATTGGATGAACCGTTTAAGAAGCTGAAGCAGTCTTTTCATTAGGGAAGTCCGATATTCACTTTTTTCCGATATCCGATGTTGTCCAAACACGTTTATGATTCCGATATTCAAACCACTGTATGAGTTCCTGGCACCAACATTCTCCATACAATCCCCTGATTATTAAAATAGATTAATACAATGAGCTGCAATGCTGCCATCTAGTGACTTTCACTTTCATAAACAGCTGTTTTTTCCCTAAAACTATTTTTTGTTCACACATCATTTGGTGACACCCAGACATCGCGTAATTGGGTTTTCATTATGGGAGCAAAAACGATAACAATTCTTGCGGATATGACATAATTATGCTAATATCGGGTCGATAATATTGGGCGGCTGATATTATCGGTAAATGGATTCTGTGAGAGACGCCTGGAGACAAACTGTTTCCTGTTTTGTACCGTTTCCTCTGTGACACAAATTTTACATTTGTATATACGTATAGCGTCGTTTTTTTTATCGTTTACTGTCTTTGCAGAGGGAAGAACTGGAATTGACATAACTGGAAGTCAAACGAGCTTCACCAGTTTCACCGACCAGCAAACAGCGTCCGGGGGTTAGCCTAATTAACCGCTTACTATTCCGCGGCCTGACCAGTAAATCTACAACAATCCAATGTCAAAGGCAACGCTGCGGACTTGACCCAGAAAAACACAATTTGCAAAATTCGGCTAAAAACAACAAGGAAAACAAAGACATTACTCACATTTGTCCATGTAAAAAAGCTGCGTGCTGCAGGCACAAAACCCACAGAAGAAAAAAAAAAAACAAACAAGCACTCCACAACACAAAAGCATTTGCCACAATGGTTTGTGAGACTGGGGAATTAGAAAGTACAATGATGCGCACACACACACACAGCATCAACAATGGCCTCAGCAATGGCTCATTTGTGTGTGAAAATACACCTCTTCTCCAGCTTCTGTGCCCTCACTCCAGCAGGGAGACGAGCGATGACAGATTGTGCGTAGCTGTCATCTGTCGAACGACTAGAGCTCGTGTGAAACCAACGCAACATCATTTTTCAATTTCTTTTTTTTTTTTTTTCCGTCTCCCCAGTTTCAGTGCTGGCGCAGAGCAGGTGCACAGCTGTAAACTGCCTTCATGTCTTTCTTTCAGGCTAATTTTTAATCATGAATCATTGACATTTCCTCAACATGTGTAACCAGCCACTGTACGCGTCATTTATACATATTCCGGGGCTAGCTCCTCTGCTGTTAGCTATTTTCAGCATTTTCTGTGCCATCTGTTAGCTTTGACGTTTGATGTAATTATTAGCTTCTTTGTGTGAGTTTTCTCTTCATCTGGGATATTTTAGCTAAACACTTAGCATTAACTAAGCTTAGCGTACGCTTACTTTCTTTACCTATCGCCTATTTTTGGTCATTTTTGGCTAAGTATTTTACCCAAAGTTTTACCTTTTGGCTAAGTATTTTACCCAAAGTTTGCCTGTGCCTATGCCTAATTCTTTAAATTTACAAATTGTATTTATTTATTTTAGCTCTGTTAGCCTTTAGCTCTTCATGCTTCTTGCTAATATAGTTTCTGCTCTTGTTAGTTTTACTTTAGACTATGAGTTATGAGTTATCCCGTAGCTAAGTTTAGCTATAATGCTAAATATTTAACATTTTGGCTAAAATGATTTTTTTTTATATGCAGTATTTTCCATACCATTCTTAACCCCCCCCTCCTCGACTGCCTTGAATGTTGAGTAAAAATAAACCGACATCATTCAAACTAAACTAATAATAAAAACCAACGCAGCAGTTAGCCCTCAGGGATTTTTGTTTTCTATTATTACATAAAGTAAGTTTAGGTAATTATCATTTTAATTGTGTAAGAGATTTTAATTTAAATGTTTTCCATGTTTTTATGTCCCAGTGCCTAATGCTATGGAGCAGCTACGGACGTTAGCGATAGCTGCTGAACATACGTTCAGTTGTAGGAACATCTTCGTGTTCGTTCGTTCTGTGTTGCTGGTATCTTTTTTATTTTTATATCTTATTGTGTTGTGAGTCCACAGGGACAAACGTTAGCATTTTGGCTAAAATCCGTCTGCGTGCTAATGAGCATCAACGTGTTCTGCCCGTTTTTTTTTATTATATAAAACTGATCGTCTGTGATGTCATAACCTCAGAGCTGAGATTTTTTAAATCAGTGACGACCTTTATTCTACTTTATCTAATCTATTTATCTATTTATTTAAGAAAAATTCTACTTTTTATCTGTTGACAACATATTTCACCTGTGTTTTATTTCTGTTTCTATAACATTTTTTTTTATTTTTGTTGCACACTTTCTCTCCCTTTGTGTCTCTTTTCTTTCTCTTTTTGCCTTTTGTCATTTTTCAATTTTTTTCGTATATTTCAAAAATATAACTGGCATATTATTTTAAATTAGAATAATAATCATCATATTATTATTATATATATTAATATTTTTTTATTTCAGAGTGAAAGAAAAAATAAAGAAAACATATTATTAATAATATTAAATAATATAGTAATATTTGAAATAAAATGATAGATGATTATTATTTCTACTAATATATTTCCCTTTAACCACTTTAATAAAACCTGTCAGATTTTTTTTTTCTTTGTTTCTTATGATCTAAACGTCATTTTCAGGACTCAAACCCACGAATCTAACGTGACTTTGACGTGTAATAACATTTCAATTCATTTCTAATAAAAAAATCTCCGACGTAAAGTGAACAATATTCACCAAAGGAAACACGGGGAACGGCAGCAACAAAACCCGAAGAAGAATTTTCTCCTTCCTTCCACGTCGAGTGAGGAAATAATAGTGATATAATTTCTCCTATAGTTTAAATGGAGGCTGGTTGGGGGTATGAGAGAGTGAGAGGTGGGGGTGGGGAGTGATGGAGGTGACGTCAGGCCTCCGCTGGGCTGTCAGCCCTCCTATTGGTCGGAGGGAGGCTTTTAAAAAGAGCAGGCAGCGCTGAAGCGCACACAGGAGACTCGAGCCGCTCTCCGTGACGCACCGCGGAACCTCTTCACCGCACTGCCACTCCGTCTCCCACTGAGCACCGGAGCGGGACTGACAGCATCCAGGTGAGAGGCTTCAGCCTTTAGGAAACGATAGGAGTCAAATATGTATATATATATATGCAGGAGCAGAGAGAGGAGGAGCAGAGAGGAGGAGGAGGAGCGCAGCCTCCGAGCGCTTGGAGAGAAACAGAAAATACGCGCAGGGAAAGAAACGGGAGTGATTTAGAATAAATCGGGTCTTTTATTGTGAAAAGGTTTTGTTATAAACCAATGTTTCTAACCTTTTCCACCTTTCCATCTGTTTTAGGTGCAAACGCGACCACCCTGTTGCCCCGGCGCGGCGCCCGACTGACAGAGCAGAATTCAACAGGTATGTTGGTCCGTCCTGTCTTCAAAAAAAAAAAAAAAAAACTCTAAAGAATCTTAAGCAAAAAAAAAAAAAAAAAAAAAAAACCGGGACTCGACCCAAGAACGTCACCATAAACTGGCGGTTTAAATTCATAAAATTCGATTCGGTTTTTATTTGAACCGGTTCGATCTGGTTTTAGCCTCTGTTCCTCATTTTGATAAAACATGTTATATTTTTGATCACAATCTCAGAGAAATCACGAATGTACATTTTGCCATGTTTTTAAAAAATGTTTCATCGATTGCAGCCTGTGATGCCCTTTATCTGAATCTTTTGTCTGTTTGCCCCAACTGTCCTCTTTGTTGCACGTTTTTATCTTTTTTTTTTTTGCCTTTTCGACCACTTTTGATTTTCTTCGGAAATTTTTGAAATTTGGGGAAAATTGTAGATTTACAAATGATTCTGTCTAAACGTCACAGGAACTTTTCCTTCAGTTCAAATAATAATTTATATATATATATTTTAAACCGTGCCAACTTTTCCTTCAGTTCAAATAATAATTATTATACATATTTATTCATATAAATATATTTTTTTATATCCAACATGGACCTGTTAATCTGTGGCCAATCAGCTTATAATCCTGAGATTTGCATCTGAACCAGTTCAACACCAGAAAACAAAAAACAAAAAACAAAAAAAGGTGTAAAATTCCAAAAAATTCCAAACTGAAAAACCACAGAACGTCAAAGTCGTACTGCGTCACACACTGCACTGCCATCTGGAGATCAACAGCTCAATCAGGGAGTTAAAGATGTACCAAGATTCTTAGTGCCGCGTTTCTCAACCTGGGGGGGCGTGATCCCACACGGGGTCGCCTGGAATTCAAATGTGGTCGTCAGAAATGTTTAATTATGTATCTTGATTGACAGCTCTGATCACATGACTGCCACTTCAGCTCCCGAGCTACTCTGTATTTGCAACGCAGCATAGCTAACGGTTCGTGATGTCAAAATGGGGGTCACGAGCCGAGACGGGGTTGGACAGACACTGTCCTATCGTGTTCGTGATCTGTTCGTGTTGCGCAGCGCTTGTGTTAACATTTTGAGCAGATTCAGAGCGTTGAAGAGTCTGCTCTTGTGCCGCGTGAACTAGAAGCGTGAGTACTACACACTCGACAGGAGTACATCTTTATCATACTGTAGTACTCTGTGACAAAGTGTCATTTGTTTAAAATACATTCAAATATAACACAGTATATATGTGTGTACTGTGTACTACTCCTTCATTATACTCCGACACAAAGGAACCCTTGGTTCCTGCAGATCTTACTAAAAAGACAGCAATCGATCAAAAAAAAAATTTTAAAAAATGCGATCGATAAAAACACGATAATCTGCTGAAAACCAGGAGCAGATTCTGCCTCTTCGTTCATGTACAGACTCTCGGGTTCAAAGCCGTGCAGTAGGAGGATAAACTCACCGGGTTCAGGGTTTTTCCTGCAGCTCGTTCCTCACTGCAATTGTGAAGATAAAAAAAAAAAAAAAAAAACCTCCATCTTTGACTGCGTTCTTCCTGTTGCAGTGTTTCTGATGCGAGTCCCTCAGCAGCGCTGCGATCTGTGTAGGATATTTACTGGTTAGTACTACAGGAGTGTGTATTTGTTGACAAGATACAGTGAAGGTGAATGAAATATACAAATATATATATATTTTTAAAAAATATATAATGTCATAGATAATCAATTAAATGTCATCGCTAAAGATCACTCCAGGAGCCAATCACAGCGCTCGGATTCATTTAATGTTGAACCTGAAATTATTGCCTCATTGTGCACCATCAGGGTGGGGGGGGGGGGGGGGTTGGGGGGGGTTCATGCTCCCTGTACCCAGAACAGTGGGGGAAAGGGAGAACGGCC